TGAAGACCCTGTGCCACCGGAGTCCCTCTCACTACACCCAGCACTGCCAAAACCTCCTGTAGGGAGCCCAAAACACAGCATCCTTGCCGAGGCGGGTGAGCTTCTTCCCCTCAGCCCCATTAATGTCCAGCAGTAATTGCTTCTGCGCTCACACCCCTGCCAGTGCAGGGGCAGCTGGAGGCAGAGCTGCAATGGAATCCGAGAGTTCACCGAGAGCCTCAAACCACTGGGGCACTTCCACCTGCAAAATAACAATAGTGACAATTAATCAGCAATTTAGAGTTTTGGCTTGAAATTTCTAGCTGTGTCATCAAAGCCAGGCAGGGACTGAAGGGGCAGGTTTGCTTCCCCTCCTCCCACCGATGCCAGCCCCTCGCCTCTATTTGCTATGGGATGAGAGTACCTGCAGGATCAACTGTCTCAAGGAAACAGCATCTCCCTTTACCCTGACCCTCTTATTGCATAGGGAGACTAATTTCCATCTTAACTCCTTGTATCATCACTAAATAGTAATTTATACAGCAGCACAGGGGCAGGGGATGGACCTCCCTGCTTCATCCTGCCTGGCCGTGCCTGGTGGGGGACAGGGGTCACCACACGGTCCCTCTGTGGCCATGGCCATGGCTGTGCACAGCTATCAAAAGCAAAGTGAAGGGCAAGTGTCTGCAGTGCACAAGCCTGTGGAGAGTCAAAGGCTCGGCTGCACTGTTGGTTACTCACATGATTTGACCCACAATATTGTAAGATTTAATTACAGTGACATTTTTCCTTCCATTTTCACCTGTTTCTCTCCTGGTGGAGAAAGCAAGCAGTGAGCCTGCACTGCCTGTGCGAGTTCGGGTATGATGATTATTAGTTGCTGTGGCTTTGTCTGTACTAGTAAATGAAATGTGCCTGGGCTGACTCTGGCACCAAAGCCAGGTGGCAGGGAACAGACCACATTCTTGCTATTAACCTCTCCTCTAAACAGCACGCTGCCTGCCCTTCTGCCAGCTTCCCTGCCCACGGTGGCTCCTAGCCCTGCCAGGAATGGTCTGAAGAGGACTGCCTGGCCTGCGGGAAGCCCTGGCCCAAGATGCTCCAGCAGGTTAATGATGAGCCTGGGAATGGCCCTTGGTTTTGCTGAATTCCATTCTGGGGATGTGTCCTGGGTGTTGGAGGGCAGTGAAACAACCTGGGGCAGAGACAGAGCAGCGGGAGGGGGATGCAGCACACAGGAGAGTGCAACTTGCTATAAGAGGGAGGTAATGCATGTCCCTGGGCAATGTGGAAGCCCTCCGGATAGTAAATCATTGCTCTGAAGTGCCTGACCTTACACTGCACCATCTCCCTGCTCACTCTCCAGAGGTTCCCCATCTATATAAAAAACAATGACTGCTGCATTATGACTCTCCAAATTTTCTCATGTGTCTGGTTACAGCTTCAGAGCCCAACCGCAAGCCAAGGTCCCCAGCAAGTTCAGTGAATGTTCATTAATCTTTCCCGGCTTTAGGCACCCAGTGGGTTCAGTAAAACTCCAAGCCAGAAAAATTTCAGGCTTTCAGAGACATGGGCCATCGCCAGGCAATACACCAAGAGCCTGTCCCATGCCTGCTGCAGACAAAGGCAACACGGTCACCATACTTCAGCGGGCTGGATGCCATAGGTGCATCCAAAGGCTCCAGAGTCTGAAGGAGGTGGGTTAAATAATTTCCAGCATGGAGCAGGCTGATACGCCCTGTCAGCAGTGCCTACAGACCCCTGTGACTCTGGGAGGAAGATGAGGGTTGTAGGGATGGGACCCCAGTACTGGTGGTCCCCAGTCCCCTCCTCCTGCTCTGAGGATGCTGCCATCATGGCTCAGCTTTCCTTCCCCACCACTCTGTGGGCTGGCTCCAGGGAGAGGCAAGGCTGCGCAGGGACAGCCAATGGCACAGGAATGGGGACATTGATGGATGACGGGAAGGAGAAGCCCAAACCCCTCCAGCTGGAGCAACCACCTCCCAGAGCTTGCAGAGGCCAGGGTGTACAAACACACCAGTGAGAGCAGAAACCACCAGGAAAAAAGAACATTAAGGAAAGCCCCAACATCTTTGCCACTAAGAAAAGCAAGAGCAGGCTTTTGCATTTGCCCTAATTTAGCTCTTTCCCTCTGGAAAGGACTATTTGTGAAATGCTTTGTGTTCATGTCCCCGGCATTAATCAGCCCCCGTCTGAAGTCAGTTCCACAGATCCCCCTGTGCTAGCCCCACTCTATCCCACACTCCCACATGGCAGGTACCCAGCAGCTTTGGCCTTTCACAGAGGATGTCCAAGGGGCTGAAAAGTGCTTGAAGATTTTTCTTTTAATTAAAGGAGCTCTGCAGACATGCTATATTCATATATATTTCCTCTATTTTTTAATTTATTGCTACATCAGCTATTAAAAAAAAAAAGGCAGAAAGAAGAAAGGAAGGGAGCTGCCACCAGCTGAGCGCCTTTCGGGATGAGTCACTGCAGTACTGAAATGGCTGCTGGCTTCAGACTCACCCTGCCTCTGCGATTTGCTTCCAGACTGCAGAAGACACCACAGCAAGAGGTTTTGACCCCCATTCCTGTGTAGAGGATTTGCCATGTGGTTATTGCCATAATCCCCCCTGGGCTTTGGCAGGAGGAGACCTGCCTTCCCCAAGAGAGGAAGATGGGGTGAGACATGAAAGGAGGAGATGGCAAGGCGTTTCCAGCTGACCTGATTTTCTGCCCGTTCCCGTCTCCACATCACTGCCAGTTAGTTCAGGAGTGGTGGCGGAGGCACGGGGCTGGCCCATGCTGTGGGGAGCAAACCGAGCTGTGCCAAGTAAGGACCTTTGCACTTCAATTTGCTGTGGAAGATCCTTAAAACGGGAGTCTCCCTTTCCTGCCACAGCCTGCCGGTGCCAGTGCGACATCAGGCCAACAAGCTCTGGTCGGCTAATGGGAGAGTCAGGCCTTTCGCTTCTGAGTTTGTGCAGCAAAGAGAAAATTCACCTCAGGTACTATTGATGCTGCAGCCAAGCCCCTCAGGACACTGTGATGCCAGCACAAGCCTAGATGGGGCCTCTGCAGCCTGGAAGATGAACTTTGTTCTCCTGCAGCCGCTTCCAGACGGCTTTGAGTTGCAGCAGGAGACATGGAGGTGTCTCCCTTCCGTGTTCCCCAGCCCCTTCCCAGAGGGATCCCTCCAGCCGGGGGCATTGCGGGCAGAGCCCCAGCAGCTCCCTGCCTCGCTTCCCACTGACACTTCAGCATCTCCGCACAGCCCAGGGGACACTCAGCAACCTGCTGGTGCTGGGAGAGCTGGTTCTGGGGGGGACGGGGCTCAGGTCTTTCCTGTGGCAGTACATAAATGAGGATGTGGTGCAGAGATAAAGTGCCAGGTGGAGTGGGTGCCCTTGCGGCATGAGGCACAGCTCCTTCCCTGAAAAATGGCTGGCCGATAAATATTTTCAGAAGGAAAAAGAAAATTCATCCTGATCACCGCATGTCAGTGACAGGCAGAGAAAACCCCACGCGGGAGCCAGCCCTCCTCCCACCCATCGGGCTGTACCTCAGCACCCGCTGAGAGCTGGGCTTGCAAGTGCCCAGAGAAGACAAAGCTGGGCATGTTTATCTTGCAGCTTCCAGGGATGTGCAGTCATCCCTAATTGCCATAAAAATAAATGGGTTTTGCTTCATATCACAGAACAGAGGAATTTCCCTCAGGTTTTGGGTTATTTTTTTCCTTCTCGTCTATTTTTTTTCCTTTCTTTTCTGCGGCCTCCCTCAAAGTCATCCCTTCCCCCTCCCTCTGCTGCCTTCTTCCCATGTAAACAAGCACATGGCACACACAGTCTGACACATCACACACATGGAAACACGCTGATGGCCCCGCAGTGGCGAGCACTGCCTGGCACAGGGATGGGGCTGGCAGCACAGGCGGCCGCAGGAGGCAGGCGAGCGGGCAGAGGGAAGGATGCTCACCACCAAAAAGAGCTCTCAGCCAGCCGCATGCAAGCCCAAAGAAGGGTGAGCACCCACAGACTCCAACCCCTCGGGCTGGAATCAGCAAGCTGAGGGATCTGATGTGGAGGGTGGTGTGAAGTCTCGCCCGGTGTGAACTGCCTGTCTGACACAGCTGCTCTGTGCTGGCTGCCGGAGCAATGAGGCACTGCTGCATGGACATGCAGCCCCGGCTGTCACTCCGGGAAGGTCTCCCATCCTCTCTTTCCCACCTCTCTGCTCCAGCAGCTGTCTTCTGGGGGAGTTGGTGTGCTTGCAGCAGTCCCCAGGCCATGTGGGGAGGGCTCCGGGGGGCGGGACCACCTCGCTGACCTGAAACCCAGAGTGTGCCATACCAAGGACCTTCTGCTTTCACCCACCTCCCAATGAGCCTTTAAAGAGACAACGGGGGGCTCAGCGAGCCAGGGGGGCTCTTCCCCGGGGCGCTGCCCCAGTGCCCTGTGCACTCCCCATCCCAAGGGGGAAGATGGAGCTGGATCGCGTGGAGGGCGACTGCGAGGGCAGAGGCACACAGTCAGCCCGGCACCGCTGGCAGCACCCTGCTCGGCCCAAATGGCCACGGCGCGGGCCAGCATGCTGGCCACATCGCCGCGGGGGCTCGGCCCCCCGAGGGCAGCACTTGCCCCTTGGGCAGCTTTGCAAAGAGCTGGCGTAGGCCAGGGCCAGACGAGGCCCGTACCCCACTGCAGCTCCCGTCGCATCCCGCGGGCTCTGCCGGCTGCGGGGGGCACTTCCAGCCGGTACGGCCATGGGGACAGGGGTGCTCACGCCCGGCCCAGGTGTCCCATCCCGCTCCCAGTCCCAGCTCAGCCCGCGGCCGGCACAGCGCTGCCCTCAAAGCTGCCGGCCTCGTCCCGGAGCTGCACCGACCCGCCAACCGGTTTTGCCAAAACTAGGTGCCCCCCCATCTTGTGGTCCCGGTGGGCTTCCCTGCGGGACCGGGTGGGC